CTCTCTCTCTCTCTCTCGAGTAGGTGGTCCAACTCTTTATATATCATTCGTGAAATTAGGGAATTAGGTTACCCATCTAATTACCCAACAGTTCAAAAGTGTAACGTGATGTTTCTGCAGCGCGTGCACTTTTGATTTATTTGCCGTATTTCGCAGTGTTCGTTTATGCAACACGTGCATTTCGGCTGCAACGTCTTTTAGCGTTTCATCATGTTTTGTCCGACATAACATCCCTCCTCCCTTGATAAAAGAAAACGCCTCGATTTTGCCAAATTCTTATCCTAAATACATTTAGTTTTTCCCGTGTACAATTTTTTATTACAATCGTTTTCTTAATTTTATAATTGTTCTATACTATGTCTACGTATTAGTGAGGGTATGGTAGGTATAGATGGTTTACAGTGTGATGATAATCTGGGAGAGATTTCACTCATTTCGCTTTCTATAGTGGATAATGACGGTCTTTGTTGATATCTTTGTTTTTTGTTCGAGAATCTGTCGTACGTCGAGATGTCTTAAGTTCTTTATTTTTCTTAATAAAAATATTACTATTATTATTATAATTATGATTACTATGCCACTAGGTGCGGTAGTATAAACTAATTGTTTATAATTTCTAAATGTATCAGAATTTTCTAATTCTTTTTGCGTTTGTGTCAATTCTTTACTTAAATCCGTTAATTCTGTTGGATTTTGAATAATTTTTTTAATTTTTAATCGCGGTATGATATTATTTCTAGTTTCTATTTGTTCTTTTGCGATGGTTATGTTATATTCCGGTATGTATGTTTCTATTGTTTTATCTTCTATTATTCCCTGTGATTGTATTATTATTTCGTTTAATATTAATTTGCATTGTTCCTTAAATTTTATTATTCCCGTATTTTTAATTTTGGTGTTATAATTTTTCTCTTTACATTGGATATATATATTTTGTTCATTCCGGGTAGAATATAACCATGCATTTTTTTCCTTCAATGCGATCACTACTGTGTGGTTAGCAAGAATATATTTTGTATTACATTTCACCGTTTTTTCTAAAGTTACG